GTGGGACAATGGTCTGTACCCTGTTAATTGTATTTTAATAAAATGCTGATGGGCCAGTAGCCAGGCAGGAAATACAGGTGAGGCCACAAGTGATGTGGGATTCCTCTCTATATGCTGTGAATACCATTGGTGAATAAAGAAACTGCCTTGATCTGTTGATAGGGGAGAACTTATGTAGGCAGTGAAAACTAAACTGAATGCTGGGAGAAGCAAAGTGGAGTGAGAGAGAAGCCGTGTAGCGCAGCTAAAGACAGACGCCAGAATTTTATCTGGTAAGCCACAGCCTTGTGGCAATACACAGATTACTAGAAATGGATTAAATTAAGATATAAGTGTTAGCCAATAAAAAGTTAGAGCTAATGGCCAAGCAGTGATTAATTAATATAGTTTATGTGTGACTATTTTGGGAGTCTGGGTGGCTAGGAAATGAACAGAGGGTGCCCAGGAACTAACAAGCAGCTTCTTCCAACCCATGAGAATAGGAAAATTCTGGGAAGAGGAAAGACACAGTCTGCAGTTGTCACCCAGACACAGAGTAAACAAGATGTTACTGCCTTGCTGAAAAAAGGTACTAAGCCATGTGGCTAACATAGACAAGAATTATGGGCTAATATGAGTTATAAGAGTTAATAAGAAGCCTGAACTACTAGGCCAACTGTTTATTTATAATGTAGGCCTCTGTGTGTTTATTTTGGACTAAAAAGGTCTCTGGTAGAACAGAGACCTTGGTCCACAAATGAGGTCTTAATACACGCAATTTTTGAGTCCAGAAATAGACAGTACTATTTAAGGTTTTCAACCAATAGTAAAGGATCAGAATAGTCAATATTTTACTTCCCAAATTCTTTTTATAATCTTTGACCTTTTCAACATTACAAAAAATTGTTCGGTGATATTTTGATTACATTTTGACAATACAGTTTGTTTTGAATTAGAAGGCAGAGCTAATCGCTATCTGACCAAAATTAACCATAGAGGTTTTCAGGCTTGTAGAGTTCAGGTGGCAGCTTGAGCTGTTGTAGAGAAGGTGCAACAGAGAAATCCCAGAATTGCTCAGAGAGTTTGGGGCAAGAGAGGAAATGCCAGCCGACTCTGGCGGCAGGGCCTATGGTGGCTGTGTTGGCTGCAAAGCCAGGGAACAGGGACTGTCTCGTGCTTTCATGCACTGATTGGATGCCGAGTGAAGCATTTATCTAACTATTTTTTTTACCAATAAGAGATTGGGAGACAGATATCAGGGTAAGAACCTGAAAGACCAGAGAAGCAGCAGAACAGCCACCAGTGACTTCCTACCTCTTCAGTTCCTCATCAAAAACAAACTGAATTTGTACTCCCATCAGCAATGGAGGAGCCTTTTCCTTACCCCACATCCTCTCCAGCATATGCTGTCATCACTGTTTTTGATCTTGGCCATTCTGACAGTAGTAAAATGTAACCTCAGAGTTGTTTTAATTTGCATTTCTCTGACAGCTAAGGAGGTTGAGCATTTCCTTAAGTGTCTTTTAACTCTTTGGATTCCTCTGTTTGGTGTTCTCTGTTTAGCTTTGTACCCCATTTTTTATTAGATTATTTGTTCTTTTGATGTAAAGTTTCCTGAGTGACTTTTAGACATAAAGCAAAGAAAAACCAGCCTACAGGCCACACCCCAGAGAAGCTAGACAGCAAAGAGGATACTAAGAGAGACATACATGGATCTACATAGGAAGGTGAAAAAGACAAGCTCCCCTTAGTAAATTGTGAGTGTGGTAGTCACAGGAAGGGTAGAAAAAGAGAGGGAAGGAAGGAAGGGGAGTAGAGAAAAATGTACAGCTCAATAAAAAATATTTTTAAAAGGACTGATATCCTCTCTAGTTGCTGCGTTATTATTATCTCGGTCCTCCAAAACCTCTATGGCTAATTTTGTCCTCTCATTCCTAATTTATTGTCAGAATGCAGTCAAAACACCACACAACGAACAACTTCTTTCTTTGTCACTGAGAGGACAAAACCTGAAACGGTTTGGCTTTGAAACATTTCTTCTCCGGAAATGAACAACAACTCTGCCTAGATAACGTGACCTTCTCAGAAATTATCATAAATGATAAGAGACATGCAGGGTCCATTACAGCTTCTTCAGGAACACAGTCTAAAATTCTCCTAAAATAGTAAAACACAGAACTCATGTTTTTCTAGTAATTAAGGAAATCGGCAGTAGGCGTTACTGTCTCAAAATCTGTCTAGGTGCCCCTCAACCTTCCTGTTGTTAAGGTTTTGTGGCTGAGAAAAGTTTCAGAACTGAGCACTCTGGGTGTCAGAATTCTCATAAGTACAAATGTCTAGGAAGGGAGTTCATCTTGAACTACACAGAAGCACACAATAAGATCTGAAAGAATGTAGTTGATTTCCCACTGCAAATACTGTAGAATTTTCACAGTTACACACAGAAAGAACCCAAAGCATGTATGTGGTTGTACAGGCAATATGTACATTCTGATCCTACCTGTATTCCTAGGGAAAGGGCAGCAAAAGGAAAGTGGATTTCCCTCAAAGTCCTATGGAGGAGAGAATGAAAAGATAGTAATATCTAATAACTCAGATAATGGGCTGGAAATAAAAGGGCAAAGTAATAGCACGATAGAAAATGCTGATCAGAATGTCATAAAGAAATGAAAAATCTGTCCTCCTTTGTCATTTTCAGAGGAGTTTACATGATGATTGTAATCTGAGGAAAAGATACTTAAGCAAAAACAGAAGAAAATATTCCATTACCATTCTTGAAAAATATTTTATGAATAAAATGTATAGACATATCTATTCACATTTATCATAAAATATAAATTAATGTGTAAATATATATATATAGGGCAAGGCAGAAAAAGAGAATGCAATTGACCCTTAAGGATTTTGGATATTTATTATATATATATATGTGTGTGTGTGTGTGTGTATATATATATATATATATATATATATATACACATATATATATATTCATGTGAAATAAAAAAGACAGAACTTATTAAGAGCATAAGTTTGACATCTAATTTATCAACATAGGTTAACATGCTAAAAACATATCAAAAGCTTCTGTGCTATGTATCTTATACACAAATATATATAGTTTCTAAATAATGTTTCTGTCTTAATGATAGATTATTTTTACTAAAAAACAGAGGTACACTTAAACTTTTTAAATGAAATGTAATTTAAAAGTTTAACACAATAACATAAAAATGGAACATTCTAAAATACTTTTCTTTTAAACCAGAATAAAAGAAAATTAAGACTTCAGAGACATGTTGTTTAGAGTCCTTACAGAAGTCCCCTCTCCTCTAAAATTTCCTGTAAGGACACAAATATTCTACATCTACACTAATTGTCTTCACCAGACAGCAAAACTTGTGTTTAAATTCTATGTTAATCAATACAAAGTGACAGGCTCTAATGGCTTCCATACAAAAGCACTTCTGTAAAATATAACGTTTATAGATATGGAATACAAATATCTCCGTGACTATGAGAAAGACAATTCCAATTAAACAAGCTAACAGCTGGGCCAGCTATTCATGCAGGAGAGAAAATATATAACACAAGAAAGTGGTAGGACGCCAGGTGGTGGTGGCGCAGCCTTTAATCCCAGCACTCAGGAGGCAGAGACAAGTGGATGTCTGTGAGTTCAAGACTAGCTTGGTCTACAAGAGCTAGTTCCAGGACAAGCTGCAAAGCTACACAGAGAAATCCTGTCTCCAGAGAGAAAGGAAGGAAGGAAGGAAGGAAGGAAGGAAGGAAGGAAGGAAGGAAGGAAAAAGAAGGAAAAACAGTGGTAGGAATTCCCCTGGAGAGTGTGAAGAAATTGTAGAATGTTTTTGGCTTTGGTTGATGATACCGGAGAGGCATTTTGATTGGACATAATCAGTATGACAGCTTCAGGATTGGGTATGGAGGTAATCATATATAAGGAAAGGAGACAATATGAGTTTAACTTCATAGTCTCCAAAAACGCATAGTGGTCATGTATGTTACTGGCCAAAGAGGAAGTGTTTGTACTATTCTGTGTGGGGTTCAATGGTATCATCGAGTGGACTCATTATAGTTGATTTCATCGCTTTCAACCTCATCTAAGGTGACTTTTTAACAAGAGATCACATGGTGTAGCCGGGACGTAGTCAGGGTCTGATGGCTCTTCCTTCCCACTCTTCCTCCCTCCTACCTCTTCTCTGTATGCCTGTCTGTCTGTGTGTCAGTCTGTCTCTCTTTCATTTCTCACCAACACAGGGCAAATATAACTCAATACAACTGATAAATTTTATACATTCTTTTATAAAATTCCAACTTAAAACCAGCTAACTAATATTATAATATAAAATGATGTCAAATTGATATTTAGAAAACTCAGTTTGAGAAATTCATGTTGATCACTGGAAAATATATAGTGAAAATGTGTTTCCTGTTGTTAAGGAAAGGTTTGACCTTCTCATTTTCTATGTGCTGTTGTCTCCTCTACTTGGGTCAAGAATGGTTTCAGCACTGAGTCATTCTTATAGTATCTGAACTTTTCATTGCGGCCAAAAAAGACCTGGCAGATGCAACGTGGGGAAAGATTTATCTTGGTTCCTAACCCAGAGATAAAGTTCAAAGTGAAAAAGCCTTGGCAGCCAGAGCGTGGGGCAGCTAATCACATCGAGTCCCTAGGCAGAAAGCATAGACAGATATATTTTGGTGTTCAATTTGCTTTTGCCTCTTTATGTGGTGCAGAATGTCAACCAATGGAATGAAGCTGCCCACATTCAGGATGTGGCTTCCCACTTTCATTAACCCAGTATAGAAAAGCCTCCCCAGACATGACAAAGATTGGTTCCAGTGGACAGTGTGAACCATCTTACTTTGCATGCTTTATTTCATTAGCTGTCACATCTCACATCCAGGAAGCAATTATTAGCAAACACAAGAAGGAAGGACAAATGTGCCATGTGACTTTCCTGCCATGGTATTTGTAAGAAGGCTGCCATTGCCTGGGATGTCTTCCCGTGGTTAGCTGAAGTGTCATTTCAGAAATATTTTTCCTGACGTCAATTCTATGTAAGTTTCTTTGTAAGTGCCCTCTTGTCAAAATCTATTTTCTCTTGGCTGTGCTAAACTGTCATTATACATTAGCTGTCTGGACATTTGGTCAATTTCACATAAGAATATAAAATAAAAAGTACGCTGATGGGTTTTTTTTTGTTGTTGTTGTTCAGTGTTCTTTTTTTCAGCAGCCTGCCAGGTAAGTGCTGGAGAACGAGTGACTAAGTGAAGATACCGACTTCCTCAATATCTGTTCTAATTCAAGGGCCCAGGCCACACTCAATATCTCACTTAAATGACATGTTTTAAAAATGAACTTAAGAATATATTGCTTGTTTTATAACAGGAGCATCAACGGAAGCATAAAACAGTAAGTTCAAATTAATTTCTTATCAGTCTTTGATTATATTTAGAGAATCCAGCCCACTGTGGTATTGTATCAACACTGAAACTGGTATACATGTAAATACATTTGATAAGCAGGGTAACAATATCTTTCTTTCCATAGCTCTGGCTACCATACACTCTTCCCTTTCACCTCTATCACTGAATCATATGAGTGGCACTTCCATCATCCATATTAAAATAATGAACGTATTTGTGATTCTTTCATTTCAGATAGAAGTGTTTTAACTTAGACACTAGCAAAGTAGCTATTAATGATATTGTTTTAAAATGTGTTGTTATATATCTATAATTTAGTGGCAATATGAAACTGAAGGAAATTATATAACAAAATAAAAGGAGCTACATGGAGTATATTTTGTTGAACTCCATTGGGTAGCAATAAAGGCACATAAATTAATAACTAATATACTTTAGGAAGAAATATGAAAAAGTGGTACTTGGATCAGCCAAACAACCCTGTCGGTAAAGGTACTTGATGTGAAACTTGACAATTAGTGTTTTTTCTCCAGGGATGAAATTATAGAAAGAGAAATGACTCCTGAAAGTTGTGCCCTGACCTTCACAGGCTTGTAATAACATGTGAGCATGCACACACATGCACGCATGCACACACACACACACACACACACATGCAAAGGTGAAGCATACACAAATGCACACACACACAACAGACATATGCATAGGTGAAGCATGCACACATGCACACACATACTCACACAGACAGACACATGCATAGGTGAAGCATACATACATGCACACACGAGTGTCCACACATACAGACACATGCATAGGTGAAACACACACATGCACACATGACTGCACACACATACAGATACACATGCAGACATATTAAATATTTTTGATGATCTTTTTCTATATTTCCTTTTTCCTATAAAATTTCTTTACTAATATTTTTCACTTTCAAGTAATTTTTTTTCACTCCATTTTTAAATGTATGGCTCCCAAATTACATTTTATATGGGGAATTGTCCATTTAAATCAGCAGTTCTAACCTGTGATTCACAACCCTTTTGGGAACCAAACAACCCTTTAAAGAAATCACTTAAGACATTTAGGAAATAGAGATACTTTACATTGCAATTTATAACAGTAACAAAATAAAAGTTATAAAGTAGCAATTAAAATAATTTTATGGTTGTGTCAAAGGCTTTGAGCCAGTCAAAGCCTTGGGGACAGTCTCTGTGCCCATTGTTAGGAGTTCCATGACTAGACTAAGCTACACAACTGGTACATATATGTAGAAGGCCCAGGTTGGTCACATGCAGACTTCCTGGTATTGGTTCAGACTCTGTGAGTTCCTATGAGGCTGGTCAGTTGTTTCTGTGAGCTTTTTTGTGGTGCCCTTTAACCCACTGGCTTCTCCAGTTTTTCTTTCTTCTATTAAGCAGGATTCCCTGAGCTTAGCCTAGTATTTGGGTGTGGGTCAATGCACCTGTTTCCATCAGTTACTGGATAAAAGGCTCTTTGATGACAATTAGGATAGTCACTAATCTGGTCAGGAAACATACTCACTATTACTAAGTGTCTTAGCTGGGGGACCTTCAGTTTTCGACCTGACCCTGAAACGCTGCCCGTTTCCAGTCATCTCACTCAGCACTCTCCCCGTCCATCCACTCACCTGAAACACCAAGCTTCCACTCCCGCCTGATCCCAGTCCACAGAGGAGATCTGTTCTATTTCTCTTTCCCAGAAGTTCCATGTGCTGCTCTTGGACCATCTCTGATATGTGATCTCTGAGTCTGGCGACTAGTTGGTGAACCTTTACAGCTAATAACCACTTACAAGTAAGTACATACCATTTTTTTTTCTTTTGTGTCAGGGTTACCTCAGTCAGGATGGCTTTTTTCTAGATCCATACATTTGCCTTCAAATTTCCTGATGGCATCATTTTTAACATCTTAGATATGCCCCATTGTGTAAATGTGCCACATTTTCTTTATATATTCTTGCATTGAGGGGCCTCTAGATTGTTTCCAGGTTCTGACTATAACTAGTGAAGCTAAAATCAATCTACATATTCAATGCAATCCCAATCAAAATTACAACACAATTCTTTGCAGACCTTGAAAAAATACTACTCAACTTCATATGAAAAAAAAATCAGGATAGCTAAAACAATACTGTAAAATAAAAGAATTTCTAGGAGTGTCACTATCCCTAATTTCAAGCTCCTCTACAGAACTATAGTAATAAAAAACAGCATGATATTGGAATAAAGACAGAGGGGATTAATGGAATCAAATCAAAGGCCCAGACATAAATTCAGACACATGATTTTTGACGAAGAAGTTGAAATAATAAATAATAAAATAATAAAATGGTGCTGGCATAACTGGACTTCAGCCTGAATAAGAATGTAAATAGAACTATATCTATCACCCTGCACAAAACTCAAGTCCAAGTGTATCCAAGACCTCAACATAAATCTATTTACACTGAACCTGATATAAAAAGTGGGAAATAGCCTTGAACACATTGACAAAGGAGAAAACTTCCTAAATATAAAACCAGTAACACAGACACTAGGATCAACAATTAATAAAAGGGACCCCATAAAACTAAAATAGTTCTATAAGGCAAAGGACAAAACAGCAGCCTACAGAATGGGAAAAGATCTTCCCAAACCCCACTTCTGACAGAGGGCTGATCTCCAAAATACATAAAGAACTCAAGAAACTAGATATCAAAAAAAAACCAAATCATCCAATTAAAAAATAGGATACAGACCTAAACATAGAATTCTCAACAGGAGAATTTTAAATGGCAGAGAAACTCTTAAAGAAATGTTAAACATCTTTAGCCATCAGGGAAATGCAAGTCAAAAAATAATTCTCAGATTCAATCTTGCACCTGTTTAAATGACTAAGACCACAAACACAAATGACAGCTTATGCTGAAGAGAATGTAGAGCAAGGTGAATACTTTTCCATGACTGGTGGGAGTGCAAACTTGCACAACTACTTTGGAAATAAATTTGGTGGTTTCCTCAAAAAAAAAAAAAAAAGCAATGGGAATTAATCTACTTCAAAATCCATCTATACCACTCTGGGACATAAACCCAAATGATCCTCAATCATATCACACGGGCACTTGCTTGACTATATTCATAAGGTTCTTATTTCTATTTGGATATTCTAATTTCTAATGAAACAGGATCATTTACTTTCTACTTTTTATCTACTTTCAACTTTGATTAGGTAAAGAATTATGGTGCTTATTTATAACATTCTTCAGTGCTCTTTTTCTGTTGAGCAACACATTAGTCCAGTTTCTTGCTGGGAAGGTCAGATAATTGGTTCAAAGTACTATATCATCAGAATTATGGTAAGGTTTCTTTGGAGAGTCTGGCTTCCAGCAATCTCGCACAATCATATCTCAGAACAATCTTTATCGTAGTCACTTAATTCTAAAGCTGTCACTGCTGGTCACAGTTAGCTCTAACTTTCCTCTTGGCCACGCCTACAGTCACCTGGGAAGGGAATCTTGATGGAGGTGTTTCCAGAAGAGATTAGCGCAATGATTGGATTGGCAGCACACGTGTCTTGATTGTTAGTTGACACTGAAGCTGGGAACACTCTGGTGTCCAGTTCCCTGGGAGGGTCTCCTTGGACTGTTTAAGACAAATGAGCATGAATCATTCCATCATGGGTTTTGCCTCAAGTTCCTGTTTGCGTTCCTACTCTGCCCTTCTTCTATGTCTAACTGTGGCCTGGAAGTGTCAACTAATTAACCCTTTTGTTTCCTTAGATACTCTTGTTGAAGAAACTTGGATCATAGAAACAGAAAGGAAATATGAAAACTATTTATTCTGTAAGTGACAATATTCTTCTCCTTTCCCCAAACTTGCCTTCTACCCACAGCAGATACCTCATAGTCTGAGCCCTTTCATTCAGCTTGACCATCCCTGGAACTGTTCTCCAATTCGTCTCAGTTCTGCTTGCCTTCCCTCCTGGGACAGCTTTCTTCAGGGAGAGTGCTCTCCTGGGAAGGGTCTTGCCTTCCCATTTCCCTGCCACTCACTACTCTTGTCTACTTTACTCCTCCATAATTATCTCACCTCTGATGGTCTCAGAAGTATGTCTCCAACTTAATAACAAATTAAAATTTGACATAGTCTTTACATCAGAATCAGCCCCTTAGTAAGGACTTTTGAATTTACTTGCATTAAGCATCCAGAGAAAACTTAATTTAGCAGTGACAGCTACACCACGGGACACAAGAAATCTCTGTAATCGTCAGCTTCCAATCACTATCATCAACATTGACATCAGCTGGCTTCGGAACGGCAGCCTTTTACAAAACAATGTTGTTGCCGATGGCATTTAATGTCTTTACTCACTTTTAAGTATCTGCTGGCACCTGACTTGAACATTAACTCTTTAACCTTGAAAGTCTAAACACCTTCGTTAAGCATTTCTAATTTTAGAAAATAGTTGATATTCTACTACATGAACTCAGCAAACTCTCACAACTGTTGGTTTGATCTTCCTTTTTAATGCTTTAGTGTCAAAATGAGAGAAATTATACTGGAATGAAGGCATAATTCAAAATGAAGACAGTGTGCTGAGATATAAAATGTCTATAAAGGAAATGTGAATCAGATACATCTATTGATTGATACTGTGACATTCTCTTAATTTAAAAGTGTGTTGAAATACCATTTAAACACGATTCATGCAACTTCAAGCACCTCTCTAAATGACTGTGTTGGGGTATGAAATTCTCTAACTTCATCATTCGCAGACATCCAAGTATGAAGGAGGCATCAATTAACTAGTCATCCTCAGTTATTTTTATAATCTTCAATTTAAATAATGATTGAATATATCATTTAACTTAAAAAGATAGAATCATGACATTTACAGAAAAGTGGATGGAACTGGAAATCATTATGCTAGAAAAGTACCCCAGAGTCGGAGAAAAATATTAAATTTCACTCATATAAAACAATCTAGATTTAAAAGTCTGTGTGTCTCTCTCTCCCTCAGCCCTCCCCCTCTGCAAGAAGGGAGACAGTGATCTTTAGATAGGATATGAAAAGATTGTAACTGAATACCTGTACACAAAAGCAGGAAGGAGACAATTCGGTAGGGATATGAAGCAAAGCAACCAGAAGAAGGCAGGGATGAAAGGGGAGGGCCTTAATGGAGGAAGAAAAATAAGAACAAAGTGTAAGAATGTGCTTTAAAAATGGAATAAAAAGTCCAATACTTTGTATTCTAAACGTTAATAAAAATGACACTCCACAGCACTTATGATCCTAACACTGAAATATTAGATTAAGAAGAAACCAAATACGACAGTATGAAGTAAGTATGGACATTATTACAAAACTGAAAAATGGCAGACTCGTCATTTAAATATTATACCAAAGATGACACAGCTGATGGTTATATCCAACCTTGTCTCTTTGCAACATAAGACACCACCCTTCATGGGAACTACAATTTACCCAATATCGCTGTCCTATACTTCACATCATGCTGGGTGAATACTAGACAGTCACAATTGACTGAATCTATCCTTTCATTTGTGAAAGTCTTGCAGTCATAGAAATAAGAGCATAACCCCAGTGACACATCATAAATAGAATGTAATCAACCAAAAAGCTTATATTATTATGAGTTTAATCAGTTAAACTATTTATTGATATTCATTATATGAACAATGAGTGGAACTGAGTCCATGCATTCAAGGAACTTACAATCTCCTGGGAAACTGTCAGGTTAGGAGCATAGCTTAGTGTTACACTGCTTGTTTTGTAGGTCGTGGCTTTAGTTCTAGCACAAATATAAAGCAAAAATAAATAACTCTATTCTAATAGAAAAATTCATATACTAATGACTTCAGCAAAGCTGAGCACGTATAAAACAATGGTAAATATAGAGAAACATAAGGCACATAATGACAAATCTAGTGAAATTCTTACAGATGTGCTTATGCCTTATATGAATTTGAAATGTTTATAAAACTATTTAGTTTGGCCATGAATAGAAAAGTGCTTCAAAAAGTAGAAACAATGTCCCCAAATCTGATTCAATAAAAATGAAAGAGTACCGTCAAACATCCTCGCAGTCAAGGGAATGTAGGGGTTAAAGAGGATCTGGAAGTCCCTGAATGTGGTAGACTGTCTTAGACACATCCCTAGTGACATTTCTACTGGCACTGAGAGCTGTCTTAGACATTCTCTCTTCCATGCCTGGACCTAGTGATAGTCATCTAAGAGAGAGAACGTGGACAAAGTGATATGACGTCACTTCCTGATGCTAAGATGCAAAAGCACAGTGACATGCATCTTGTTCTTCCTTACTCTGAGTCTCAGCTTTCACCGACACAAGTTTCTGTTTTCTGAGTAGCCTCAGTTGAGCTACAGTGGTGAGAAACTGGTTTATCATCTATCTAGGTCATGATGTCTGCCTCAAACCAAAGAAAATGAAAATTTGAGATCACTCTGGCTAGTGTGCACATTTATTTTACGGCATGATGGATACTCTCCTAGTCATCTCCATTGTGGAATTGCCTGGATTGTCTCAGTCAGGACATAAAGCATGTTTCCTGGTCTCACCTACTCAGCAATTAATATTTTAATAGGAGAAGATGATAAAGAATTTAGGAAGGTCACACTGAAGATGATGTGATTTGATTGAAAAGTAATGGTCTATGATTAATATATATTTTTGGGAAAAACCTTGAGTGCTGGCCTAACAAATCACTGACATGTGACCTAGTATGTACAAGGAGTGTTACAGGCAGGACTGTCAAATATTGTGGTGATTTGAATGAAAAAACACCTGATAGGCTCAATGGAGTGGGATTATTTGAAAAGATTAAGACATGTGGTTATATTGGAGTAAATGTGGCCTTATTGGATGAAGTGTGTTACTGGGTGGTGGGCTTTGAGCTTTCAAATACTTAAGCTAGGCTCAGTGGCTGTTTCTCTTCCTGCTGCCTACTGATTGAGATGTATGACTCTTGGCTTCCTCCCTAGCACCATGTCTGCCTGTTTGCCACCATGCTTTCTACCATGACAATAATGAACTAAACCTCTGAACTTGTAAGCCAGCCTCAATTAAATGTTTTCCTTTGTAAGAGTCGCCATGGTCATGGTGCCTTTTCACAGCAATAGAAAACCCTTACCATCGTATGCTACAGAGAAAATTCAAGTAGAAGAGGATCTGAGTTTAGTCAAAAGCTTTAAGCTTGACAAAGAAGAACTGAACTTGGAAACACTTAGAGGCAGACATTTATGGTGACAGATTCTGGGGTGGCAAGACAGGAAGAATCCAAGATGATGTTCAGTTTGTGATTTAAGTGAGTGAATGCTTGAGCAGACTTTCATTTATCTTCAGGAAAACAACAAAGGAAGGGGAAGTTTGGTTCGGGAGAGAAAGAGGAAGGCCCAGAATGACAAGTATTTTAGACATTGACAATACATTAAGTCCTTAAGGTACCATAATAATTAAGTGTGAATGAATGGAAAACGGAAGAGTAAGATAAAACAGGGGATGGCAAATACAGGCCAATATTTCCACAGAATACTAAATGTATTCTTTTACAGGGACAAATATGTGTGTGAGGAAGTTAGGAAAAGTTCCAGGCAGCCCAGAGACACAGAAATAAGGGAGGAAGAAAGGCTACGGTAGACATGAGCAATATGCCAGAAGCAGCAGTAAAAATAGCTGCTGGATGCCTGGCAAGTGATTGGAGAGATCTGAGGCATCTGGCAGCCACAACTCCATAGCATCTGGTAGCTGCACCCTCACAACTGCTACCCATACCCTCCGGAGCATCCTTCTGTCTGGCTTCCTTGCCCACACCTTAATTCTGGGGTTTTATAACTTTCCCTTTCACACATCAAGATCGGCTCTAGACGGAAGTCATGTGTCCATGGGAATATGCACTTGTTTTTAAGATTTTCTGCTTTAGATCATTGTGTAGAAACACAACACTGTGACCAAGGGGCTGACTACTGAGGGTTGCCCCAATTCAGGTTTTGCTGCAAAAATCACTTCTCAATCTTGTGGGGAAGATCAAGTAAAATTGTTTCATTCTGCCTGGAAAAGAAACATTTAAAAGAAACACAATGCATATTTTCTTATTTCCTCCGTCTGGTATCTCAATCATTCTTACTTTATTCACATAAACCATCTTTCTATTTATTAGTTGGAATAGCTAAGTAAGCAGTATGGTAGTTCTTACTGGAGTAGGCAATGCAAAATCTCCAATTTCAAAGTAAATTTTATTTTTAAAAAACCAAACTAAGTTCACCTTTCTGCTGAGCAACATTGAGACAAACACAATTATGTTTTTTATGTCATTTTGTGTCCTCTGTTGCCTGTCTTGTCTCCCAAGGATTCACTCATTTGACCTAAGAAGTGCATTCTATATTCACCCTGGGTGTTGGAAGAAGTGTTAAGCAGCTGCTGGGCCATATGTGTTGCAAGGCAATGCTTGCCCTTGGGATATTCTTTCACGATTATTCGGTGTATCAATTGGAAAGTTAGATGGCTTTTCATTTACATCCATCTGAGCGAGTACAGAGAGCAGTGTGCTCCAGAATCCGCACAAGCTGGGGATGCCAAGTCCCGCGGTTCACTCACTCAGCTGCTCCTGATCCTCAGGTTCACTGTGCTCCCTGATGACACAGAAATCATTCAGCGCCTCTCCACGGCAAGAGCAAGATCAATGTGTTGTCTCTTTCAGTGGAAAGGGTGATATTTTACACCTACAATACCAGATGGATGACAATTTATTTTTTAAATAAGTTTTTGAAGGTAAACAGCCCAAGAGCGAGAATTGAGAAACATGTTTGTTCCTCATTTAAGAAATGGAGAGATGTGATTATGTGATGTTAAGTTGAGTTTCTCAGTTGTTGTTTTTTCTTCCACTTTCTTTGAGTGAAAGGCATTTAGGTTTTTATTACTTGTTTATTAAGTAGAACTGGCTTAACTTGAAGGGATAAGTTTGCACACAATAAGCAGTGATTTTAAATTCACAAGAACACTGTAGATTCCAGCTATTATTCATCATCTATGAAAATAATTGACTAGTCACTCTAGGGCATTGAATATGAATGAATGATGCAATACAGCTGCTCTGAGCTGGGATCTTTGATTTACTTTTTCAGAACTGGTTGAATTTTGGGGGTTTTAGGGTTTTTTTTAGGTATGTTTTTGGTATTTTATGGAACAATGACATTACCCAGACTCACCATAAGTAGACAGATTGTGACACAAGTGACACGGTCTGAAATTAAGTAATGAGAAGTTAATTAATTGACAGAAAGCTTATAAATGAGAGATGCCAAAGAAATGGAGTCACATTCTCATTCCCGGGTTTTGACTAGTTTTCCTTGCCTGGCTCATGTGACCAAAATCACTAAAGAGTTGATCTGAAGATTTATCCATATTGGTCAATTAGTACAAAAGCTCTTATACACAGAAGAGAAAACCAAAAAATGCAAAGAGCTACGAGGAAGATGTTTCAACTTCGGACATATGGCAAGGAACAGTACCGCTGAGTCATATGGTAGATTTATTTTTAGCTTTTCAAAGATTTTTCATACTGATTTTCAGCATGGCAGCATCCAATTCAATTCACATAATCAGGGAATGTGCACTCTCCTCTCCCACAACCTTGCCAATGTTTGTTGTCATCTGTTTTACTGATCTAAGCCATTTTCACTGAGGTAAGATGAGATCTCTATGCTATTTTAATTTGCCATCTCACGAACTGCTAGGGATAATGAACACATTGTGATGTATTTCTTAGCCATTTCTATTTATTTTACTGAAAGTTCTTTGGCTAGATTCTGAGCCTATTTCTAATTGGTTTGTTTGTTTCTTTGTTTTTTGTTTGTAGAACTGGATATTGATCCTCCGTCAGATGCACACATGGCAGAGTCTCTCCCATTCTCTGCATTTCTTCTTCACTTGATTATTTTCTTGGCTACATAGATTTTTAAATTTTCTGAGGGCCCCACTGTAAATTTTTGGCCCTGATTTTTTGACTAATGCAATGCTGCTCAGAAAGTCCTTTCCTAAATCTATATCTGACAAAGTACTGCATCCATTTTTCTTCTAGCAGTTTTGGTGCTTGGGTTTCAGATTTCAAACTGAGATCTTTGATTCATTTGGAGCTAAGTTTTATACAGGGTGATTTTAGTGCCACATAAAACTAAGTGTAATGGCTTGATTCAAGGTGTTTAGCGAGGTTTACTTTTAGTTTTATATGATGTAATCAGTCTTTGTATGTATTATCACTTTTACAACATTTGAACCTTCTTGCTGGTATGGGAAAAATGTTTTATCATTTAAGAGATTTTTACACAACCAGACTACAATCCATACACATTTTGGTTTTTTTCCTTCCATTATCTCACTTAGTTACAGCCCATCGTCAAGGAAGCTGTCCCTGACAGCACACACAGACCCTCAGAGAGAGCTAGCGAGTGGTCCCATGCTGCTACATGTCGACATCCAGTTTCCCCACTACCATTTGTTGAAGATGCTATCTTTTCTCCAGTGTGTTTTTTGTCTCTTTGTCAAAATATCAAATGAAACTAGTTACCAGTAACTCGTTTGAGTCTTCTATTTTATTTCATTGCTCTACATGCCTATTTTGAGCCAGTACCTTATTGTTTAAATAGGTCTACAATATACCTTAGAGTCTAGAATTCAATACTGCCAATATTATTCTTTTTGCTAAGGATTTCTTGAGCTACACAGGGTCCTTTATGGTTCCACATGAATTTAGGATTTCTTTTTCTATTTGTGTGAAGAATACTTTGGGTATATTTTATCAGGATTGCAGTGAATCTGTAGATTGCTTCTGGTATGATGATGATTTTCACAATTTTAATGCTACAGATTCATGAGCTTGGGAGGGGGGACAAATGACAGAAAACTTACATGATAAATCCTCAAGTAGCTTTGCATTTTATATGTAAATAAAATCATATATGATACATATAAGTGTATGTGGATATGCACACATCTATCAGAAAAGTAAATTAAGTCACTTGTGCTGACAATGTTGCCAATACGAACCATAAACTACCCAACAAAAACCCAGTGCTCTGCATAAGAAATCCACACAGGAAAGGTCAAGATAGCCCATGTGACTCCTAAAACAATATAGACCATGGCTGTTACACGTAACTGCCTCTCAGAGGTTGAAGGAAAATATTCACCGCAAAAGACTTTTGTATACTTAGTTCATATGACTCAGATGATTCAAGTTGGGTCTAATCTGAAAGCCTCTTTCCTGTGGTTTAGCTTATATGGTACTAGAAACTATTCTACAAGGGGCCGGGGAATGAAAACAATTAAGAGTCCTACCTAGCATCCACACCTATAAAGCACAACAATGGGCAGGGTAGAGAGTCATGAAGTCGCAGAAAGTGTTACTCACAAGTAGGTGGTGGCCACCTGCTGTTAACTGAACGCAGAGTCCAAAAACAGGAGGAAAATTATACCCGGTACTAAAATCCCAGACAACTTCCCAGAGATAATGATGTCATAGAAGAAAGAAAATAATTTACTACTACCAATTTTCCAGGCCAGCGTAATTCCAGTTACATTCTAAATTTTATCCAGGCAGAAAAAATCCAATTAGCACCCCTAATCAATTAAGTTGCTCTTACAGCATATGAAGACCATGACAGAAAAATACAAGCAGACAAACAGGTGTGTGTGTGTGTGTGTGTGTGTGTGTGTGTGTGTGTTGTAAGCAAGTGCACACACACACACACACACACACACACACAGACACATCAGTAATATATAAAACAACAATAAAAGAAAGAGAGGATATTTTGAGAACAGGGGCTTGAGGAAGGAACGGGAAAGAGGGAAGTGCTGTACTTATATTTTAGTTAAATGTATTATTCATAATACATTTATGAATACATACATAATACAACAACAAAAAGAATGGAAAGGTATTATCATAAGTTGTATCTTAATCTCTTTGTTCTAAAATACTGTGATAGATAAGACTATTATGTGGCATGCTTCCTGCTGTTGTTTCAAAGGAAAATTGTGGCAATTTAGGTTGACTCTGATATTTGTCTCCAGGAATCATGTAGAGCTCAATTCTGATATTTTAGTGCCACATAAAACTAGGGCTAATGACTGATTTTAGTATTCTTACAGTTGATTGGTGAGATTTAGTGTTAATTTTATACAAAGCAGTCAAATTTTGAATGGATTATCACTTTTATATCATTGAACCTTCTTGTTGATGGGAAGTGCTTTAACAGAGAAGAGATTTCAATACACACCCACACAGATTTTATTTCTTTCTTTATTTTCATGATAAAACATGTAGATGGCCCTTTTTAAGAAAACATTAGCATCTTCTTTATCTTCAAAAGGAAGTTTGGGAAAGACAATATTTAATATGTCTATATAAGTTAATGGCATATGGACATGCACAATAGTGATCTGATTTTATCATAATTACATTTCTGTATAACCTTTTAAACATGTTTCTCATAAAGAAGGTTTAGCACACGTTGTTATAAATCTCTGTGTTGAGGTTCTTTTTCACTTTCTGCTACTTTGAAATTTTCCTGATACGCATTTCCTTTCTCACTGTAGCTTGAGGTAGACACCTACACAGAGCTTACAATGTCAGCCCATGGCTTACTGATACAAGTCTTTTCCTCCCAACACGATCATTATTTACTATTTCTATAATGCAAAACATGAGCATGGATCTGTCTGGAGCAAGACTCAGTTTTTATCCCTCTGTGTACAGGTCAAGGAGTGAGATTTTGTTCCAGATTACCCTGAATAAACGTACTTATTATACTATGGTGCAAATGCTTTTGTGCTTGCAATTTACGATTCTAAAACTAATGCTGTTTTACAAAGCAAACACAGCGTTGTTGACTAAAGGGAACAGAAATTTTTAATGGGATTGCAGTGTAGTGAGGTCAGGACACATGCTCTGAGGTGGTTACAACTGTCGTGGTGTGTAGTCTCAGAGGTGCATAAGAGTTCCTTTGTCAGAAAAAAAAAAACAAAAACAAAAACAAAATGAGTGTGCTGAATATGTTGTCAGTGTTGTTCATAAAAAAACCCTGTGGGTATTGTTTTGGTCTGTACATAATTTAAACACGCTTTTTCATTTATAAAAATGTTAAGCAAATGCTGCTCCTTCAGACTCAGAGAATTTGTTATTCAAAGCTACAGTCATTCTGAAATTCTAGGTTTTTGTTAGTTTGTTGGTTTGTTGGTTTGTTTGTTTGTTTGTTTGTTTGGTTGGTTGGTTGGTTGAGTTGTGGGCAGGTGGTTTTTTATTTTATTTATTTATTTATTTATTTATTTATTTATTTATTTATTTATTGAGATGGGGTGTCTCTGTAAAACAAGGTTGACTTTGAATTCAACAGAGATCCACCTGCCTCTGCCTCTGCCTCTGCCTCATGAGAGCACCAATCAGTGTAATTCTAACCTTTATTTGGATGAAAGAATTTAATATGCATGCAACCTCAGGTATGAAAACACACATCTATAATCCTAATCCTTGAGAAAGTAAATTAAGAAAAATCACGAATCGAAGGCCATCCTGGGCTGTGTAATAACACCCTCTATTTAAAATATCATCATAAAAGGAAATATTTAGACGTAAGCTTTAAATTCACTGCAACTGCAATGTTATCAGTGCTGAAAACATCAAGTGATACCTCACAAGGCTGAGAGCCCGGGAAGAATTCATCTGGATAACTGCACAAGGAGTGCTCACGAAGAAAAGAAAGGGACTTTGCATCAATGCCCTGCTTCATAGCTCTGGCTACAGTGCCTCTAAGGTCTGTGACAGCGGGTAGTGAAAGCCAGGTTTCTCAGTCTTGAGGTTGTTCTTAATACTAAAAATCAGAAATGTAAACTGCTGATTCATACAGTTTGGATAAATTTACTTAAGATCATAACAATAGGACTCTAAAGGACTCTAAAATTCTTTTCTTGGTCCATTCATTTTCCAAAATAATAATAATAATTTTCTGAGTAGATATCATGGTTTTCACCCATTTTGTGTCTGAGAAAAGATGAATGGCTGGTTCATGATGGGACTGTTAAAGGGGCTCTGGTCCTGACTTCAGGTAGTGATCTTGAACACCCTATCCTGCGGCTCCATGAAGAAGTTGATTACAGATGTTCGAGACATAGACGGACCTGTCTTAGATCTTGAAGTGCTACTGAAATTTTTTGAAGAGATAGATGAGGGAAATCACAGCCAGAATGATACCTTAAAATATTATATCTGATAGTCATCATAGAGAAATGTACTTGTAACAAATAGCTTGGGGTATTTTTCAAAAGTTAGTCATTTCCATTACTGATTTGTTCCCTCAAAACTTGTTCATCTATAAAGAAATCAGTCTAAATTGTCAATGCATTACAAAATGTAAGAAAATGGAAGTGCTTTCCTTCTTCAATTTAGTATGGATGTGGTAGGTATTTTATGAAAAAAAAATTAATGAAACTTTAAGTTTGGTTCATCTTATTTTTTTCTTCTAAATTTTTTTTATTTATTTTACATACCAACCACAGTTCCTCCTTCCTCCCCTTCCCTGACTCCGCCTCCCCGCTACTTCCTGCATTCTACCAACCCCCATTCAGTCCTCAGAGAATATAAGTCCTCCCATGGAGGTCAAACAGCCTGGCATATCAAGTTTAGGCAGGACCAAGCCCCTACCTGCTCCATCAGGGATGAGCAAGGCATCCCACCACAGGCAATAGGTTTGAGAAAGCCAACTCATACACCAGGGATAAATGCTGGTGTCACTGCCAGCGACCTTCACAAACAGAGCAAGCCACAGAACTGTCACTCACACTCAGAGGGCTGGGCTCAGTTTGGCAGGCTGGAGACATGGCTCAGCAGTTAAGAGCACTGGCTGCTCTTCCAGAGGTCCTAAGTTCAATTCCCAGCAACCACCTGGTAGCTCACAGCCATCTGTAATGAGACCTGGTGTCCTCCCTCCTCTTATTATTAAAGTGTTTTCATTGAATTTGTAACTATAAAGTTTTTCAAAGCATCACAACTGTAAATTATACCTACATATGTGCTTT